TTCTTTGTTCTCTCTTATATTATAAAAAATATTTTAATCCAATAATCTTCTTGAAGTAATTTTGGTTTTATTATTAAAGAATTTTACAAATAAATTCTATTTAATTACTTATTCATTTTTCAACTATAATTGAATAGTCTTGTGTTTAAAGAAACTTATTAATATTTATCTTCTTTAATTTTTGAGCATATAAAAATACATCAGCCAAAATCATTAAGATTGATGATCTATTATACATCTAGGTATTTCACACTATAAAGGTATTCTTATATAAAATAGTTCAATTTCAAATAATGAGGCTTAGATTATAGAGGGATTTTATTTGTTACTTTAGAAAGAATTACAAAGGAATGGGAATAAAAATATGGATAACTTTAAGGGTCTTAGTTGCAACTGAAAGAAATTCGTTAACATTTAAGTGAATTAAAGGATATGTACTATCGTTTTTGATAATAGCATCAAAAAGTTTAGAAAGTATAAATTTAAGATGGGCTAAATAAAATATGACTTCCTTGGCTTTTGGGGAGTGATTCAAATAGGATCCAGAGAGAGTATTTACTATCTAAAAACCCTTTGAATTAAAATTCTGATTGTATATATTAATTGTCATAATAAATAATTTAAATATATATTATATTTGAATTAAACCATTCTAATTATTATAGTTTTTTATTCAACTAATTCTATCATATAGAAAACAGGAAGCCATACATTGAAAAAAGCATCTAATTTCATGAACAATGAAAGCTTATTTACAAAAATAGCATAAGGATACATAATTTTAGAAAATATTCTTTAATGATTAAATGATATTCTAATAATCATTAAATTCTCTTATTTGTTCATCAGAATTTAGATTAACTTATTAATCTTAAAATTCATTTGATATTATTTTAATTTTGAATAAAAGGGAAGCCACTCCTTTTTCATATAGTTTGCAATTTAGATCGTCAACTTACATAATATATCTTAAGTAAACTTGATAATAACTTAATTTAAACTATTTTTCTAAATGCTTTAGGATAAATCAACAAGAGGAATCTAAAATAGTATCATTGACACTCAGGATATCAAATTATATATAATCACTTTAATATGATTTAGATATAGAAAATTAAGCAATCATATATTATATATATTTGAAAAATAAGTTTATATTAATCAATAAATCTATTATTTAAAATTTTAAAGAAAGATTTATTTATTTATAAAATCCTTCTTCTATCATTTCTTCATTTTTAGAAAATGAAATCTCCAAATTTAAGATAACGATATGATTATTATTGAATCAAGTATATATTGAAATAAAATGTTTTGGTCTAAAAATTCTATTAGTAACTAAAATTTCTTTAATATTTTAATTACTTAGATTTTACTTTTAATATAGACTTTATTTGATTGGATAAACTTAATTGTGCTTAAAAATTTATATAATATTTATTTTTATAAATCATTATTTAGTAGAAAAAGATTTTAAAAGGGGTTTATTAAAATTTATGTTTTTTTATTGGAATTTAATAAGTGAGAAGGTACCATTCTTTTAATCAATTATGTAGAATACTATTCTATATGTTAAAATCTTACTTATTTAGATCATCCAAGTATTTACCATTTAAAAATTTATAAAATGAAGGGTTCTTAGATGCTACATATTT